AAACAGAATGAAAATGATATAACAATCTTAAGTCCTACCACATTCTTTGTATTGCTATGACTGTAAACATTAAGAATTGACTAAAAAACTATGGACCTATTAACAAAGATTATTTAATTATTCTATTAAAGCTCACCGTTACTCACTAGGTGGCAAACATGTCTACATAACTGAAACAAAATCTTTAAAACTGTACTAACATCATATATATCGTAACCCAAAATCTCCTTAATCAGTTAATTAGAGGATATTTGAATTAACCGACCCAACAAATGAAAATATTAGTTTAAAAACTGAAGAAATATGACAGCACTCATAACTTTCAGAAGGGACTAACTTTAAGTGTGCACGTGACAAAGATTCTTATGTTGCTAAGAGGGTCCATTCAGTCCGAAAAGTGTAAGCAGGCTATCCTATCCACAGCGCTCCAAGCAGCAGGTTTAAATACTGCTATTGGCTGCTGCTCAACTATACTGCCGTTTACAGAGCGTGTATGAACATATAATATACACTCGCTGTTTATATGCACTAAAAACTAACAAAATGAGTGACGTTATTCCCAGTTTTGGTTTGTGTTTAATAAATATGCTAATTACGCATTGCAATATATTTCCCTCGTTTTCAGTCACGAGAATTATTTTTACACATTATTTGTTACATATCCCGAATTTTCCCGCGCACTTTACTTTCCCAACCGTTTATCAAGAGTCAGCGTGTTAATTCCTTTTCAACATCGCTATAAATAGATACAGTATTCCCCCCTGTTGTTGTGTACTTAACCACAACAGTTTCCTCGCGTCCCTAGTGTTTCATGCTCGTTAGAAGTCTAAAATACTAACCAAATGTGGAGCAGAAAAACGTTGTCACCCAAGCGTCTCTCTACATGAAGGCCAGATTGCATCATACTCTAAAAACATCTAATTCTTTATAAAAGCTGCCCTGGCAAGAAACGAAATCGTAATATTTTGAAGTTAAACCGTTTGTAATTATTAGCTTTGTATCATATAAAATATTTTACTGTTCAGTTAATCCTGTATATTGATAATTTCTCCATTAATGGTGTATTCTGTTTGACAAACATACTGATATGTATGCTTATTTCGCAAACTCCAGTAAAAATATTCAATGTATAATGAAATAATAGTTGATGTGTTTCTCTCTGTGTTTACTACTAACAGTTTTAAGTGCCCAGATATAATTTTTTTTTCTTCTGTTTTATGTCATAGCTGGAACAAGTGTTAATTTCATCTTATCATAACTTGTACATGATTTACCTTTATTCAGGTATATTCATGCAATATTTCTAAATTTTCATGTGGTCTCTGCCTATAGTCAATCCCACCCGTATTAACCATCAGGGTGTGTTAATACTTTTACAGGTTAAAGATTACAAAATGTAGCCTTTGTTCCTGTGTCCAAAGCTAGGAAAGTAGCCTATTTCAATAGGCGGTACAGAAACTTGTACAAACTGGCTCATTGGATATAGCAGATATAGCGTAGTTAACATATTATTATAATCATTATTTACTTTCACTTACAAATTCTTATTACTAGGATGACTTAGAACTATATGCAAGTTTGTCAGATATGTCTTGTCTCTTGCTTTTGGTATCCTTCTCCTCCTTTGTACATTCAGTAGCACAATTTATTCTTAAGTTAAAATAGACACAATTCGAATGAACTTGAATTGCAGAATGTCTGAACGTTTTTTTTTATTTTTTTGTTGTTGTTGTTTTTGTACGGTCAATCCACAATTCAAGAAAACCTTTGGGTCTTATAAATTCAGCAAAATGAATAAAGAAACACTACACCGAACAAACTTTTTTCCTTTGGAAAATATACACGTGTATTCAGAATTTACTCTGTTTTATGTATAAAGTTCTAAAGAAGTGAATTATTTGACATTATATTATGCACCAAAATTAAACCGCTGTTAAACTCGATATTACAATAAAACTAATGCTTTCTTTCCGCATTCATCACATGGAGTATATCATCATTTCTTCGTTAAAATAATAAACTCAGGACATTAAATTTGTAAATAAGTGTTGTTTCTCAAGAAGAAAAACTTGGAGAAATTATAATAAATTGACACATCTAAATGAAAACTTATTTAGGCCTAATACCATTATAACACGGTCTTTACCACTTGACGACGGACCTCTCGAAACGTCGCACAAAATAAACTGTAAATTAGACGTGCAAATTTATTCTTTATCATAATTTATCCACATTAAATTTGATATACGATCTATACACTAAATTGAATATTATCGATCTGAATTTTAAATTACCCCATTATTTATTAATGTTCTATTTTTTTGGAAAAAAATATTCATTGCCTATAATGATTGTTTTCGTTTTAATCATTTTATGTGCTAATTTTTGCTCAGACACTGGTCTTAAGTTTTAATAAACTACTTTCGCAAATAAATCAGTTTTTTTTATTACATGATTTTTTGAATTATGGGTAAATGCAAACAAAATTTTTTTTTAAAGTTCTGGCCTTTAATAGTCTTATGGGAAATTCGACAGTATTGTTTCTGCAGCTTATAATCGTGGAAGTTTTACATGATATTTAATTGGCTATAATCATTACCAGGTTGATTTTTAGTTTCACTCAGAGTAGGTAGCATGCTCTAGTGGGAAGTTCAGACACACACACACACATATATGCAATTATTAAACTATATGTTATACAATATATAAAAACATCCACTCAACAGATGTTTAAAATTTGTCTTATTGCCTAGGAAAATAAGTTCATAATTTTCTGCTGACATTCAAGTTTAAATATTACCGAAAAAAAAAGCTTACCCAGTTTTGAATATTAAGCTTAATAATGTTGAAACTTGTCGGTAGTTTTGGATTACCTGGCTTTTAATTTTAATGCCAAACTCTAGAAGTTAAAAAAGAAATTGAGACAGTTAAACAAAAAATAACAGTATTACAGTTACCAAACCAGAAAAAGGGAATAAAAATCTTGATTTTAAACTGAGTATTATGAAAAAGAAATAAAGGTTATCCAGTTTTCTGTGATAAAACAAAATTCATCCAGCTTGCTAAAGATCCCATTACATAAAGTTTAACGACTACCGATTAACAGAAAAACATGACTAACAAGGATGTTTATCAAGAAATTTGCCCAATAAAACTTGCTTTTACAGTAAAGGAAATTGTTTAGAATAGGTACTACATTTTGATTGTTCTCGAGTACACTCACTAGTGATTGAAAAAAACATACCTGTTCATTATAAAAAAAACTTCTTTACTGTAAGAGCTTTAACTTGTAATAAAATACTTAATCAGAAAGTAAACTCAAAATGAAACTAGTGTATATAATTGATTAATCTGGGTGTTGAATCTTTATTTACCAATATTCCCACATATAAAACTAATTTGTTATACAATTGCAATTATAACTACAATATGAGTAGAGGTTTCTGTTCTTAGCAATTAATGGAATTATGGTGAAAATTTGTGTGTCACAGAGTGAAAGAAGAAATTGAAAATTACTCAAACAGCTTTAAGTCCCTTTTATAGTTATGTAGATGAAAATGACCATTTTCAAAAATTGTTACACAAATGGCAGAAAGAACTCGTTTTCAAATATTGAACAAATGGAAACAGTTGCATTGTTCAAAAGGTCTAATATTAAGTTATTATAAAACAACCACAGTGGTTTTTATCATTTGCCAGATATTGTGATGATGATAACATCCAATAACTTCTGTATGATAAATTTCATTTTAGGGTTAAAAGAAATTCGTAAATTAGTATCAGAATGTAAGGTTTCTTGCAAATAATGCTTGCATTTCTTTTCTCTTCCCAGAAACAACACAAGTCTTGTATGTATTTGCTAAGTGCCAAATAGTTTATTCTTTATAGACAACCAAAAATAAATTAACAGACTATACAATTTATGCAGAATTCTTTATTAATTTAAAAAAACATTTTGCTTTATTTCATGGTGTAGGTGTAAAGAACTAAAAAATAAAGCAATAAACTGTAAATATACCAGACCATGAAATAAGCAATAATATTATACCACAAAACAGTAACAAAGCTTGCAAACAAATAACAGAAAATAACATATGATAAGAACATAAAACTGTTGTAGGAGAAGACAGAAGTAATATATGTCTGTAAATCTGTTAACTTTTGAATGTTATTTATTTAATCATTTCCATTATAAAGTGACACACAGAGAGAAATAATTTTAGTTTGCATTGCAGATTAAGTATTTTTCCAAAAACAACATTACACAATATTATCTGGTATTACATGGTAATCTTTAGCTGTGTACAGTAAACAATAAATAAAACATGAAAATAAATACACATACCTACTACTCTGACTAAAATATCCCCCGATTATTGTACATCCTGAACTAGGGCATTACATACTCCTCAGAACAGGTTATTTTATTTTTCTTTACACTTTAAAAAAAAAAAAATTGACTTAACACTGTAAGAGAACAGCTCTCTTTTCTCATATATTACTGAAATATTTATCTCAAAAAAAACTTAGCTTTTCAATAAATCAAAACTCTAGACTTGTGTGTATGAGGACTGTGTTAAATTCTTTGGTTTTCACTGTTCAGAGCATTTAAAGATGTAGGATTGCACTGAAGTAGGTAAAAAATGCACGAGTTTTATCAATAATTCTAATTGACTAATGAAATAGTATACTGAATTAAGTAATCAATAAAAAAGTTTTTCTTCATGGAAGATAAAATTTAGAAATTTATCATTTTAACCTAACCTTCACATTTTTCTTTATTATCACTCTTTCTACTTGCATGGAGAGTTATACCTTTGTATGAAAACACTATTAAACTGTCTTTCATAGTTTTATACAATCAACTGATACCACTTGTTCAAATAGGATAAAAGGAATGTAAATTGTTAGCACAGTTACGGACCAGTACCGAGAATTTTACTCTCAAGACTAAAAAATATACTACATAAAATTTACCTCCAGTGACAAGTGTTAAGATGAAAAACGTTTACATTAATCAATTGTTATTAAATAAATATGATAACAATAATCCGTAATTCATAAATTTATTTTACAGCAGCATGTTTAAAGTATAACAAAATATGACAATGAGCAACACAAAACCCCAGCATTTATTAAAGCTTGAGATGTTTTACCAATACGATTATAATTGGGTAGCACAATAACTTTCTTCAGTTAGCAAACAACAACGACAACAAAAAAAAAGAAAGTCAGAAAAAGTTAAAGATTTTGTCACTTAAAGCAGACCCACCCCCATTTAAGTTTACTAACATTACACAAATATAGTGGAAAGTTGGTTGAATATGGATCCTGATAGAGCATTAGATCAGTTTTATGAAGTCACTAGAAGAACAATACCTTATTATCAGTTTAAATTTCAATGTCCACAACCCATACATTAAGTATAAAAAGTGGACTAAATAACTAATAAAAAAAAAGCAAGGTATACGATAATGAACTACAGAGGCTGAACCCAAATTTAAACATTATCATTATTACAGTTTGTTAAAAATATTGTGGAATTTATTTAAGGTAAGATGAAAATTGAGTCAGTAAACTTTTACTTTGAGAGAGAGAGAGAGAGAGAAGAAAAAATTTGTAAATAAAGCCATAATGCAAGTATATTCAATTATTATTCTTTTGTTAATCTATTACAAAACTAACTACATCCTTATGCTTGGAAACTACCCAACTTTGTAAGTATCACGAAAAACAAACTATAATTTTTCTCAAAGGAATGTTTCATTGTAATTATAAAACAAAAAGAAATATATCACAGAAATAAAGTTAAACATAATATACAAATATATCATATTCTTATGCTTGGAAACTACCCAACTTTGCAAGTATCACGAAAAACATCTGTATGGTTAAGGATTTTGTATCAAATTATAATTTCTCAAAGGAAAGTTTCATTGTAATTATAAAACAAAAAGAAATATATCACAGAAATAAAGTTAAACATAATATACAAGTATATCACACAATATCACCATAAAAACTCAAAAACAAGCATGCAAGATACTAATTAATTTTGTTACCTAGGGTAATTAATAATGACCCATTAAAGCATTAAGAAATAGAAAGATATGAATTCTGGATGTAAATACAAAAATCTGTTTTTCTAAATTAAAAGAATATGCAGGTTTTATCTTAAATATTACAGACAATAAACCTAAGAGAAATCTTACTTTAAGTGTATTCTCTTTGCTGTGGTTCATTTTGGATTGTAGACTCTAGTACATGAATTTAGAAATAGTGTTTTCAAACTGTTAAAATCAAATCAACTATGAAGACAAACTAAAAATTGTGTTATGTTGTTGAACCTGATCTATAGGATGAGTTAAAGTTAGAAACTTCTTCAACCATTAAAGAGCATGCGACAATCACGTGGTTTGATCATATAACAAAGTTTAAATACAAACTACTTGAAACTTATTCTTCAACAAACTGCATAACATGAAATCCTGTGTTTTAGCACAAACATGTACTGAAATATGTAGCTACCACAGATTGAGTATTGTATTCAGTGTTGAAATATCCACAAGAAACACTGCTAATACATAAAAAGATAGTTTATATACTTTTCTAGGTGAGACATGTGAGCACACACGCACTGCAAGAAGTTTCAAATTTAAAAACACTACGATAAGAATGTGCTACAAAATAAATTTGTAACCACAAACACCTCCAATATTTAAACTACAAAGTTGTTGATGATGTAGTAATACGGCTGGTTTGACAAAATATTAACTTCATTGTAACTATTCAGACTCAAAAAGATTATTCAACAGCCTACAAGCACTGCTACCAGGACACGAAGCTTTATGCAACAGAAACAACTAGAGTATATGTATACCTAATAATCACTTAGCTAGTTCCATCTGTTAGAAGCGTGTGTGTGGACATCACTGCTGTAAAATCGGAGTGGGATCAATTATCCAAATGCACGTATATTTGATAATGCTTAGCAATAAGTAAACTTGCAAGGCCCTATAGGAAAAGAAAAGGTAATGCTTAAGGTTTGACTTTTAACCCACCCTTCCTTACTTGTAGTTACTTATAAAACTTTATTTCAGATTCTACTATATCTTTAAAAAGGTCTGCAGCATCACTATAGTTTTCAGGAGTGAAATTATCCAGAAATCTCTCCATATCCTGCAAGCATTTTGATTCCAACTCTTGCATGGTTTTACACAGCTCCTCACCTTCGTCACCATCACCCGTCATCACCGAGTAGGCCCTCTGGTGGTATCTATACAAGACATGACTACGATCGACTGTCTTTTGAAAACGTGGTTGAATCTGAGAAGAAAAAAA